GGCTTAAGGCTTAGGGCTTTGGGTTTGGAGGTCATCTGTGCCCTTTGCCTGCGTCTCCACCTCGTCTGCCGGCGACGTCACCTGCAGAGCGCGTTGAGAGCTTGGGGCTCTTGGGTTCAATAGAGGGGCCTGAATGAGTGGAATAGGAATTTGGGGTAAACCATGTCTTAAGTGCACCAAGGATCACTCAAGAACACCACTACTAGTTGTTACTAGTTATTCCCCCTCTATTGTACGTTGGCGTTGACTTTCGAAACCAGCCAGGCCATTTCGAAAGAAAGCTCCCACCCTGATCCCTAGCCAGAGGCTAAGGGGCCTAAGTAAGGAAGGCCGTAGCTACCCCTAAACCCTAAACCCTAAACCCTAAACCCTAAACCCTTGACCCTAAACCCTACGTTCATTGTGGCAAAAGGTAGCGGCTTTTAACGACACTTTTAACCCTGGAGCCTCAGAGCGGAAAGCCCTAAGCCCGACAAGCCGCCAACGCCCTAAAACACCAAAACAAAGAACGGTAGTTTAGGGTTTTAAGGTTTAGGGTTTAGGGTTTTAGGGTTTAGGGTTTTTTTTTGAAGTTGAGTAGGGTTAAGGGTTGATGGTTTTTTTAAGTTGAGTAGGGTTTAGGGTTTAGGGTTTAGGATCCCTATCTCTGACATCCACAACCCCAAATCTAAACCCTACACTACATCTTCAAGCCCCCCGCCTCCCCCCCCGATACGTGCCAAACCCGAAAATGGTCAAGTCAAGTGGCCGGCGAGGTGGGTGCTGGCAAATCCGTCGGCACGATTTCCTCAAGATGGAAGCGTTTAGGATTCAACTAAAGGTTTTTGGTTCCACAAAGCTTCAGGGGTGACTGGGATTTAATGCTTTGGCTGCTACGGAATAGTGTCTCAACGACAACGCTATATGTTTCTGCAATGAACAACCCCTGCCTGCCGGCCGATGTGCGCGGTATGAGGTCCGTTCAGGCCGCTGTTGTTTAGTTTATAAACCGTCTCTGTTCATCCAGGTGGGTAAGGCGTGGTGCCTAGGAAAGCATCGAACCTAGTGACTTAACACTTAAACCTTCGTTGAAGGGTCAAGATATTCGGATGCCCACTAGATTTTCTTCCTAGACTGCCTAGACTGAAGGACGGTTTAGGGTTTAGGGTTTAGGGTTTAGGGTTTATGGTTTAGGGTTCCCACTCACGAGCATAGAGCCTAGCCTAGGGCACACCGCAGAAGGCTGAAGATTTAAAGCAAGGGGCCATGACCCTAGACAGCAACAAGCCAGAACTCTAAACACCAAACCCTGAGCCCCACCCTGAACCCTAAACCCTAAACCCTAAACCCTAAACCCTAGACCCTAAACCCTAAACCCTAAACCCTAAACCCTGACCCTGAGCCCCACCCTGAACATTAAGTCTGAAAGCCCTCGACCCCAACCCCAGACAAGCATTAATTCCCTAAACCTCTTGCGTACTTATGCATGCTTTGGATTTTCAGGCGGAAGATGGGCAGTGAAGCTGTTGGGGATGGAGGGTTGTTGGACTTTAGGGCACCTGTCTTGGGACGCAGAGTTTAGAGCTTCATAGTTATTGGGAGGAGGATTTTGGAGTGCTACGGCTTGGCTTTGAATGTGGAGGTTCCGGGGGTGTAGGTGTGTGGCTTAAGGTTTGGGGCTTCTTCTTCGGGGATTTTATGAGTTTATAAGGGCTTTAGGTTTAGGCTTCGGGGCTTAATGCCCTGAACCCCACACCCCGCAAGTCTAAAGCTCATACCTATTCAGGCAGGCGACCGTGGGCGAGGTCACGTAGACCGAGGAAGTGTGTACGGGCACGGACTCACCTGAAAGTGCGGCCACAAGCGCTGTTTTATGGCTTCCTATTTTGTCTTTTATGATTCGGTAGGAGTTTAAGATTTTTGGGTTTTGTCTGTGGTGATTCGGTAGGGGCTTAAGATTTTTGGGGGTTTTAGGCCTAGTTGGTTTGGTACCTTATGCAAACCCGATCGCTGGAGACCTACACATGATTAGAATCAGACCTTACGGAGGGCTTTGGAGGATTTTTTGAATAGGGCCTCATGAATAGAGAATGTTGGTCTGGGGAGAGTGGCTTTCGGGAGGAATGTTGTAGGTACTAATACGCGGGTAGTCTTAGTCTTCCTGCATTAAGCCTTCGACCTGAAGCTGCGAGTTGTTCTTGCCTGGGGATTTTAAGTGCTTATGCTAGTTGCAGAAACAGGGAGCCCTAATATAGGCACTATATTACAGAATCCCGGTTTCAGGACGTCCATGCAGGCGCCGGTGCGGTGGTAGTTGCGGGGCTTGCCGGGTGGTGGGCCTCTCGTGCTGCTGGCCGACAATAAGAAATTTGCGCGAAGAGCCAACGGAGGCCTTCTTCAAAGGGTGAACATCATGCAAAGGGTTGCGAACAGTATCCTTACTCTGCATCGGCGCTCATGTGACCGCAATGAAGACGTCACAGCATGGCCTTTGACGTCGGCGTGGCCCACTGAAGTGGAGCCACGGCTAGGGGAGCGCAGACCTCTGAACCCTGGAGCCACTAATTTCACTAGATAGCAAGCCCCTAAATGAAAATTGGCCGGGGACGTTGTTGGTCAAAGCCTCACGTCTCTCCGCGATTCGGCCAAACCTGTAAGTGCTAAACCCTAAACCCTAAGTGCTGGGATTTGCGTTTTTTGGTTTGGGGTGCGCGAGGCTTAGGACTTCGGGTTTGGAGGGTCTGGGCCTGGGGGCCGGGGATGCCGCCGAGTTGACGCTCTCCAGTTCCGGTTTAGGGTTTAGGGTTTAGGGTTTAGGGTTTAGGGTTTAGGGTTTAGGGTTTAGGGTTTAGGGTTTAGGGTTTAGGGTTTAGGGTTTAGGGTTTAGGGTTTAGGGTTCATGTTAAAAACTA